GGGGGGGGGGGCGCCGCCGCGGCCGCGCGCCGCTGGGCGGCTCTGCGCAGCGGCCGCCTGCTGCGGCGCGCGGGGGCCTAGAGAGTAGGGGATTTTCAAGTGCTTCGGGGGGTATGCGTGCATTCTTGCCTGTCCCCGCCCGACGCGGCGCACGGCGCTGTCGGTCAGACCTTGCATGCCGGCTTGCTCCTTGCATGACGCATGCAGGGACATACACGCTAGCCTGTTGCCACATACATACATGCACGCTCACACACACTTACACAGGAGACCATGGCGTCCCGCAAGGCGGCGCGGCGGGAGGAGCGGGAGGCCCTGGGTCGCGGGGAGATGCCAGAGTCCCTGGCCAACTGGAAGGTGAGGGGGCCGGTGGCTGTATGATTGTGTAAGGGGCAGACGCTGGATGGAAGCTTATGGGAACCTAAGGGGAAGCTGGGGGATCTGGCTGCTGCAGCAGCTACGAGGAAATGAGGGGGCTGCCGGCAGTGAGGAAAGGGGCCGCCTGCGGTGGCCGCGGCGGGGGCGCATGTCATGGACGGCAGCTATGGGTACTTGCGGCGGCACATTGGTGCGGCGCGCGGGAGAGGAAGTGGCGGCGTTGCCGAGTCAGGCTCTTGGCGCGGCTCGTGAGCTGGCCAGCGGCGTCGCAGCTGGGTGCGGCCTGTTAGCCGCACCTTCAACTTTCACGGCCTGAAGAAAAAACGCGCGGCCGCCCCGCCGCCGCAGCCCTACAAGAAGAGCGAGGACGCCGAGGGCACCGGCGGCATCATCGTGAGTCGCTGGGTCGGTTGTTACCCGCCCCGGTGGGGGACCTAAGGGGAGGCAGGGGCGCTGCATCCCGCTGATATGAGGCGCCAGGGGCGAGGCTGGCGCGAGCAGCGCGTGCAATGGCAGCCCCCCCCCTGCAGCCGGCGTCGCAGCTAGCATGCTGTGATCCGTGCCGGCTAATCCAGCTGTTGTAAAGTGTGCACTCGCCTAACAACTCGCACACAGCTTGCGGTTTTACGCGCGCATGCGACGCGCGAGCTCGCACCCACCCGACCACACTGCCACCCCACGCCTCCTCCACCCAAACTATGCGCGCGTCTCGCGCCGCCTAGATCCCCCTCAACCCCCTGGGGCTGCGGATGTACGACGAGGGGGAGCGCTTCGACCTGCGGTCGCCCTACAGCGGTGCGTCGCTGTGTGACGTCACAGTGACGTCACGGTGACGTCAGCGTGATGTCGGCGCGGGCGTCCCGCCTCCCGCCCCGGCGCGAGCATGTGCATTGAGACCGGGGCTGGCTGGGTGCGGCTGCGCGGGGGCGCCGCTGCCGCGTCGGGCCGATTGCTTGCCGCCCGTCGCAGTGCGCATGCTTAAACCCTGGCGACTATCCATGCGATCAAATACGGTATGCCAAATCTGGATCTGCTTTGATATCCCTGCAGACGACGGCTGGGTGGACCCCGATGAGACCGACGCGTTCGCGGGGATCAAGAACATCGGGAAGAAGCTGGTGAGAAGCTGACATGTCTGTTTGAATCGGCGTAGGGTTGTCGTGTGGAAAACAACGGTCAGGGCTTGTCGGCTGGGATGAAGTGTCAACGGCTGCGCAACGAGAGCGGCGGGGCAGCGGCAGGGGTCGCCCTGCTCTTTTGCGAGGGGTTGGCAGAGTGTGTGGG